TCGTTAATCCCGTGTGCGTATATCGTGCGTATGCGTGTGTGCGTGTGCGCGTGTGCGTGAGTGTGCGCACGATCGAAAATTCGGGAAAATAAATGCTATACGGATTCACGGAATGTTTACACCATGCGACATACGCGCACGTACGTACGTACTTACACACATACACACACACACACACACGCGCGCGCGCGCGTGTAAGAGTATATGTTCTTTTCTTTTTTTTTACATAAAACAAAAAATTAATACCGCGAAAACTGTCGTTTCTCGCCTTAGCCTCAACTGGTCTGTTTTTCTTTTTTTGATTTTTATCTTGCCCTCTTCCGCCTGACGATGCTTCTACATGCTTGCTGACAATACCTTCGTGCGCTTCGCTACCTGCCAATTAACGCCTGCGAAATATTGCCGACCGAAAACTCGGACACAAAAACTGTACCAACGTATAAATAACAAAAACCAACGTAAACAATACGCACGATCGACCGATGCCACGCCGCACGCAATGTGTGCCGAAATATGTGGAAAAATGCATACGCCACCATCATCGACGATCGCCGCAACGACGAAACACGTATAAATATATATATATATATGCTAACGTACGAAAAACGACGATGTCTCGGGATTGGGAATGTCCTCGGGAACCGCCGAAACGGAAACGGATGTGATCGACGCACGGGGGAAAAACTGTGTAATATGCTGTGTAAAACCCCGTGTCACACGCACAAAACGTCAACGGGGGAAAAAAAAAAACGTGGAATCGGAAAAAACCAAAAATGAACGTGTGAAAATGAAAAAAAAACCAAAAAACCAAAAAAAATAACGTACACGGCACGTAACGAAAAAACGCAGACGGCGACGATGCCGACGAACGTGACGGGAATGGGTGCGTTGGCTGGCGGAGTATCAGGAGTGCCAGCGACTGCGATGCCCGGAGGACTTCAGAGCGCCGGTATGGCGAGCATCGAGCTCGGCAAGAAGCGGATGCGCGACTCCAATGATGATCTGCTAATGGTACCACGGCTTATGCATGGAGTACACTTTTCCTTTTTCTTTTTTTTTCGTAGCTGGACCCCGGCAAAATGGCCTCGATGTCGACGCGAGGAGTCCCGACGTCGCCCGTCGCCCGTCGTTTTTCGATCGAAAATCGTCCGTATCTTTCGACGCGAGGCATTCAGGGGCTTCAGCGGGAAATTAAAATTGATAGATTCGCAGCGAAAGGCTACGGTATTCACAGTCCGTTTCTATATATTTAAGATCGTCTTAAGTTAGGTCTCAGCTTGTCTTAAGATCCTGTCGACCAATAAAATGACCATATTACATCTCTCATACTTAAGATGGTTTTATTTAAATATAAAACCTGACTGTGAATACTGGTGTCAAAGTGTCAGATTTCGAGTAAACTTACGATTGGTCGCTCCGCTTTGTCGAGTCGCGTTATTATTAAATTTTGGATCCTATTAATCGAGAAACGCAAGAGAAAAAAAAAATTAATCGCAATTGTGTTTAACTTATGTTTTAATTAACGTTTCCTGTTTGCTCGCTTTTGCCCGGTTTCGCGCTATGAGTGACGTCGACGAATTTGCACGAAGGAGTAGAGTTCGGGTGATGATCGCGATGAGATTCAGGGTTTCAGGCCATTTTCCGGAGGTCCCACGTAGCTGTATCTTTAAGTTACAAGTTACAGTTATTGCGATTGTGAATACACTGCCGAGCGCGCTTAGAGCTCTAGCTCCTGTCTTTCATTTTTATTTCTAACAAGAGTTCCGCTGTTTTTTCTATTAGCTGAAAGAGGACAAAAAAATGTCTCGTCGGTGAAACGTCGAAGCCGACGCGTGTAAATCTAACGATACGAGATGTCGCGTTTGCAACGTCACGCATTATTATGATCGAAACGTATATACTGGAATACCAATAGTGTCACATACGGCACTATAACTGAAACCTCTGTGAGCCTAGCGACGCCACGTGTGGCGTCATTATTGAAACCTCTCTGGTGCCTGTGTACCATCATATAGAATATTATTGTAGAAACCTTTATGCGATATCGATAGTGTCACGTATTGGCGTCACGATTGAAACCTTTGTGATGCGACGCGATAACATAATCGCGTTCTTTCGCAAAAAAGAAACGAGATTTGCGGAAAGGAAATCCTATAACATTAACAAATTAATAAATTAACGCCACAAACTTTTTTTTTAATTGAATTTTTTAAAAAACATTTTTTTAATTGATTTTTTTTTACGAAAAACTACAATATCCGGCTTTATCTGTCTCGCTTGTCTCGCCAATGTAACTTAGCTTATTCTCGTATCGTTTCTCGGCTCGTACGCGATACCGCATCGGCTTCTGTTTAAAAGACGATCGCGTAAGAAAATTCTAGAGACTCTATCTTTTTTTTCTCTTGGTTTCGCTTTCCACTGTCGTTCGTTGCCATGTTGTTCGTACCAGAGCTTACGCCTCGTAATGTATTTATAGATCGCTTACAATTTTTTTTTTTTT